ACCTTTTAAAAGGTTCTCTTTAATCAATTTCCCCATTTCCTGCGAAAGACAACAGTTCTCTTCATTGCTAAAGCCCACAGTTGAAATGAAAATGGAACGATGGAACGAAAATAAAGCGCTGGAGAATGCTACAAAACGATTGCTTAGTAACCACGCGTTTATTTGATTTAGGGAAGTCTGGACACCAGAGAAGGACACAAGTAAACAAATGCTGGACTTGTGAAGACTGTATTTTACAAAACTGAATAATATATTTACAAGTAACAGGTACAGATATCTTGATATTAGATAACGAAATTCCTTGTTTAAGCAAAAAACTATTTACATTGTACAATGTTTGAAAGTACGGCTCATCAATCTTTGTTCAAAGCGAAATCTTGTACAACACGGTTCGGTATCATTTTCACGAGAAAAGCAAAAACTATTTACATGAGCATTAATATACTGTTAAAGTTCATTCTATCGACCAGTGTTCAATGTTCAACAACTGAAGGTTTTCAGTTCAATTTGTGACCCCTACAAACCAGTTTACTCCCTTTGAGAGCAATGGTCTCGTGTATAAGCCGCACCCACGATTTTTGACTCAAAATTTCGGCAAAAAGGTGCGGCTTATACACGAGTTTTTACGGTATTTCTTTATTCTCGGTTTACAGTTCTACTCAGCTCTTACCTTTCGCCATTTTCCTTTCTTTGTCATCTTTATACTAGACAAAACACGACATTTACTTTTGAAAACAACCCACAAACAACAGACAAACTGAAGCCGATAACACTCATTGATATCAATGTAACATCATAACCTGCTGTGGAGCTCATCAGCAGTCTTCAAACAAGCACCACAGTTGGTGTTGCACGACATGTCATGGAATCCTCTGAAGCCAAAAACAATCATCGATATCAATGTAACATCATAACCTGCTGTGGAGTTCATCAGCAGTCTTCAAACAAGCACCAAAGTTCGTGTTGGATGACATCTCATGGAATCCTCTGAAGCCCGTAACACTCATTGATATCAATGTAACGTCATCACCTGCTGTGGAGTTCATCAACAGTCTTCAAACAAGCACCACAGTTGGTGATGCACATGTGATGGAATCCTCTTCCGTGTGCAGGAATAGACAGCATCATTAAGCATCTCAGCTTCGCTCCTTAGCAGCAATACAGTAGCATGGCAACATCACTACATTGGGGTCATTCTACAACGTAAATTTTCCAATTCTTTCTTTATTCTTGGTTTACAGTTCTACTCAGCTCTTGCCCTTCGCCACTTTCCTTTCTTCGTCATCTTTATACTACATAAAACACGAGATTTTCTTTAAAAACAACTCACAAACAACAGACAAACTGAAGCCGATAACACTCATTGATATCAATGTAACATCATAACCTGCTGTGGAGTTCATCACCAGTCTTCAAACAAGCACCACAGTTGGTGTTGCACATGTCAAGGAATCCTCTTCCGGGTGCAGGAATAGACAACATCATTAAACATCTCAGTTTCGCTCCTTAGCAGCAATACAGTAGCATGGAAACATCACTATACTGGAGTCATTCTACCACGTAAGTTTTCTAATTATTTCTTTATTCTCGGTTTACAGTTCTACTCAGCTCTTACCTTTCGCCATTTTCCTTTCTTTGTCATCTTTATACTAGATAAAACACGACATTTACTTTTGAAAACAACCCACAAACAACAGACAAACTGAAGCCGATAACACTCATTGATATCAATGTAACATCATAACCTGCTGTGCAGCTCATCAGCAGTCTTCAAACAAGCACCACAGTTGGTGTTGCACGACATGTCATGGAATCCTCTGAAGCCCATAACACTCATCGATATCAATGTAACATCACAACCTGCTGTGGAGTTCATCAGCAGTCTTCAAACAAGCACCACAGTTGGTGTTGGACGACATGTCATGGAATCCTCTGAAGCCCATAACACTCATTGATATCAATGTAACGTCATCACCTGCTGTGGAGTTCATCAACAGTCTTCAAACAAGCACCACAGTTGGTGTTGCACATGTCATGGAATCCTCTTCAGGGTGCAGGAATAGACAGCATCATTAAACATCTCAGCTTCGCTCCTCAGCAGCAATACAGTAGCATGGCAACATCACTACACTGGAGTCATTCTACAACGCAAATTTCCCACTTATTTCTTTATTCTTGGTTTACAGTTCTACTCAGCCTTTGCCTTTCGCCATTTTCCTTTCTTTGTCATCTTTATACTACACGAAACACGAGATTTACTTTTGAAAACAACTCACAAACAAAAGACAAACTGAAGCCGATAACACTTATTGATATCAATGTAACATCATAACCTGCTGTGGAGTTCATCGGCAGTCTTCAAACAAGCACTACAGTTGGTGTTGCTCATGTCATGAAATCCTCTTTCGGGTGCAGGAGTAGACAGCGTGATTAAACATCTCAGCTTCGCTCCTTAGCAGCAATACAGTAGCATGGCAACATCACTACACTGGAGTCATTCTACAACGCACATTTCCCAAATATTTCTTTATTCTTGGTTTACAGTTCTACTCAGCTCTTGCCTTTCGTCATTATCCTTTCTTTGGCATCTTTATACTAGACAAATCACAAGATTTACTTTTGAAAACAAATCACAAACCGTAACAGATAACTTTAACAGATTCAAAGTATCCTTGCAAATTCATTCTTTTTAATTGATTAAACTAGATCCAAAAAAATGTGTTGACCAGGAACAAGTAAATTAATCTGAAGGTGTTTGGACTGTGCAAAATAATGGATCAGTGAGGAGAAATGAAATTTTTTGGGTCTAAACTTGTGATATATGCATAAACGCAAAAATTCCATAGTATTAATTTCTCAATCAATTTTCATTCAAATGATTAATAACAAGCGCAAAGTCAAAATATGTTCTGTTTATGTTTAATTCAGACAAACAATTTTGCAAAATTTAAGAGACAAAATGGTTAACCATTGACAGTTTCACTTTTATCACTGAGGTTTTGTAAAATCAGCTCAACTCAAAGGAGCTGTCAAGAAATTCAGCCAAATTAGGAAATTACAAAGTGCAGGTTTGAGGCAATTTTATTTTGCTCAGTGGTGGCTTAGAATTAAAATCGGTTCAATTTTGTTAAATTAGATGAATCATTGTTGCCAAGTGCGCACTTGGCAATTCACTTATGTGAAAAATATTCTCTCAGCAGATCTCAGTGAGAAGTGGTATTATACAGCAGAGGAAGGACCTTAAGATCCTAACTGAACAGGGTGTTTTGACCAATGAAGAATTCACTTCCCAAAAACAGAAGCTGTTAAAAAAGCTAACCGATTTGTAAATTTATTTATAAAATACAGTGAGATACAGTGATTTAAATGTTTAAAACCATTAGAAATATTCTGCGTGCTCGATGTAATTTCTCACTTTGTCATCTGTGACTTGAAGAAATGCTTCTTGGACCATTAATTAAGGATCAAGACAAATCGTCTTCCCTGATCCAGTTCTTGATTTGAGCAAAAAGCTCCTCACATGGCATGAAGTCAGGGCTATAAGGTGGTAAAAAAATTATCATAGCCCCTGAGAGGTGAATTGTATTGTCAACTTCCTGACTGATGGATAGTGGCATTATCTGTGCAAAAGACACAGATCAGAATGAACATTACCCTCACGAAAATCGAAAATCTTATAAAAGAAGATGAGTGTAAAGTGGATAAGGAGTTTACTGTAAAGTAACTTATCAAAGAAAATGTAAACCCAAAGAAATGTGCCATTTACATAAACCTCAGACGTCTCAGGGCCCATGGCTCTGTTCCATAGTGTGATGTAAGATTAGATTTTGCAACCATTTCCTGTATTTCCCAGTCACAGCCATTTCTCACAAGGAACAATCACAGAACTGTATCTAAAGTTGCTCATGCAATTGGGCATTGAACAAAACTTCCACATCATATAAAAATTGAAACATGATTTCTAACTTACAGATCTCAATCACCTAGATGAAAACCGATCGTGGATTTACGCCATTAAATGACAGCAAATTAGGGCACAACTTTTCAGTCATGAATTCTTGAAAAGTTGCAGCATCGACGGTTCCTTCAT